TTGTTCTAACCACAAGGGTATTAGCCTAACGCCAATTGTGACAAAATTACCAGCCTCGATTCTCGTTCGTCGCCTCACTGCGGAACAGGAATTTCGAATTAGGGAAGAGCAGGCTGGTTTCCGCCCAGGACGTGACTGTATAGACCACATATTCACTTTGCGGCAGGTGCAAGGGCAGCGCCACGTATACCGCAGACCGACAATAGCTGTGTTCCTCGATTTCAAGAGTGCGTTCGATTAAGTCGATCGATCGATTCTGTTCGAATTACTTGCGCGAAAAGGTGTTCCCACGAAATATGTAAACATCCTTCGTGCCCTATACTCCAACCCTACAGGCCGCTTCAGGGTCTACGCTGGCCTATCGGATAGCTTTCCGACCACAAGTGGCGTTCGTCAGGGTTGTCCGATTTCCCCATTTTTGTTCAATTCCGTCGTGGATTCTATCATGGAGTGTTCCCTTGCGGAATCTCACGATGTTGGCGTTGAAGTGCTGCCTGGTGAAAGGTTGATTATGCGGGTGATATCGTTTTGTTTTTCGACGATGTTGGGACGGCACAATCAACCCTGAATAGCCTGTCCAGAGTGGTCCCATTATTTGGTATGCACTTCGCACCTTCAAAGTGCAAAGTGTTGCTGCAGAACCACCAGCCACTTGATGACCCTTTGACGCTTACGAACGAGGAACTCGAGGTGGTTGCTCCTTTCACTTATCTTGGCAGCTGCATCAGCAATGATGGGCGCATAGAAGCTGACGTCAGATCACGCATTGCAAAGGCCAGAGCTACCTTCTTGAACCTGCGGCATCTTTGGCGACAGAAGGGAGTTTCCCTCCATCTGAAAGGCCGGGTATACAAGGCCACAGTGAGGGCCGTTCTGCCCCATGGGAGTGAGAATTGGCCCCTTCGATCTGAAGATCTGAGGCGCCTTCAAGTCTCTGATCATCGTTGTCTGCGAAGCATTGCTGGTGTCGGATGGTACCAGCGTGTCTGCAACAATGATGTGCGTAGACGAGTACTAAGTGGTGATAATCAAACGAGCTCCCTAGAACAACAGACAGCACTGAATAAGTTGCGTTGGCTCGGGTACGTGCTACGTATGCCTGGTCACCGCTTACCTAGGAGGGCCGTGTTTAGTCTGCCAGGTGTAGGGTGGCGCAAGGCTCGAGGTGGACAGAAGTTGACTGGGCAGTGGGAAATAAAGTCACTGACGACCAAACTGGGTACCGTTGGTCCGTCTCGCCTTCTGGGCTGGAGTCCAAATGACTCGGCTTGTGCTTGGCTCGAGACTTTACAGGACATGGCTCGCAACCGACACCAGTGGCGCGTCTGTTGCCGTCTCCTAATTAGATTGCCTGTTTAAAGTGTGTTTGGTGCTGAGTTATCTGCGGGGTAATGGCTGATTATGACGCGAGGCAGTAAAAGCTGCAAGGAAGCTGTCTCACCGATGCCGCCTTATCTTTGCATCACAGCAAGCTGTTTGTGACGGTATGTTGTCTACGCAAGGTGTAGGCGCTGCTGTTAAAGGTGGTGATGATGATTTCATCAGTGGACAACTTTCCAACTTGTGCCTTCAGATTCCCAGGAAGTACAACGGTGTCCGTGCTTCTTCTGTGGCGAAGGAGCTGAAGCAATTGACGGTAAAAGTCGTTCTTTACCGAAGCATCGATACAGTTCGTGGGCGCGTAGGCAACGATGATGAATAGAAACCTATTAGTCTCGCGCGACTTCGAAGCTTTGAACGAGCCAACCAATCGGACTGCACACATCCGGCTACTGATTGGAATCCAATCAACCAGAGCAGCTTCAGCCGGGGACTCACGGCAATGCCAACATCAGCTTGGTCGGTGCTCGAAGCTGCATCGTCACCGGATAGGCGCAATGAGAAAACACTGCTTGCGTCACCTGAAGGGGATCACAGAGTGAGCACAGAGCTCGAGTCTTGCAGGCGGGTCTCCGATAAGCAGCAGATATCGATCGAGAAGGTCTCCAATGTTCGGGCAAGTGCTGCCTGTTGACCGATCTGTAACAATGTGCGTACACTGAGGCATGCCAATCTGAAGGAGGATCGAGGGCTCCAAATGGAATCCGATGAACTGGAATGGACCGCTTGATTGGACATGGGTTGTCGACAGGAGAGGAGTGATGCCCCGCGTTAGCATGTGAGTTGAAATTAGAAGATGAAAACTTAGCAAGGCATGTTAGGGGAGGGCCAAGAATCCGGCGGTTGAAATTTGGGGGGATAAAAGTAAAGTTGGAGTGGGACGATAAGAGTGAAAAAGCGTAAGAGGGGGAATAAGAAGACGGGAAGGCTTCAGCAGTAGCATCCATACCCCTATCCACCCTGCTCGATGCAGCAGACAGGGCACCGTTGATTATCCTCCGTGGTGGCCAGAGCATCAAGCAACAGTTTGAAGAGAAATTCATAGTATTGCATGGGCAGGATACTGTCAGGTTGCTTAGGCCTAAACAAGAAAACAATTAGCGTTCACAACCAAAGCCTTTGGTTCAAAAAACCTTACCGCTTGACAGCGGGTTTGGCGTTAGGTTACAAGGAGTCCGTTTCAAGGAATAAGGTGCCACCCTCATTCCAACCCCCAACATAGAAGACCAGGAGGCTGAGTTTGTCTGGCCTCTAACCATTGACCAAACTGTTAAGAGTGACTCTGAAAGTGCAAAAGCACCACCCAGCATAGCTCAATGGATCGCTGAGGCACACAAACCATCGCACCACGGTAAGGTACAGCCTCATTGCGATGGAAAAGTGGCCAACAACGGCTTGTAGTTGTTGACAAGGGGGAAATATCTCCCATAGAGCATTTTATGGAACTTCTTAACGGCAACGATGATAGCCAAAACTTCTTTTTCAAGTTGTCCGTAATTGCGCTCCGCTGGGGTTAGAGAGCGAGCAATATGAGCCTTTGCATTTTTCGTCCCATCAGAAAATTCGTGGGCTATGAGTGCTCCCACCCACGAGTTGACGCGTCAGTTGTCAATATGATTGGAAACTTCGGATCAAAATGCAGCAACAGAAGTTCAGATTTCAAGTAATTTTTACATGCTCAAAAGCACTCAACATTCGCTTGACCAGGCCCATTTACATTCTTTTGTAAGCAGCTGATTCAATGGTTCACGTAATCGGTGCATATCTGGCAGGAATGCGCTATAATAGCTGATCAATCCGAGGAATGACTTAAGTTCAGCAACATTTGTAGGTGGGAGCAGTTTTATGATTGCCTCAATGTCTGCCGGATCGGGTCGTCGGCCATCTTTGTCAATGAGGAACTCAAGGTACTTTATTGAATTCAAAGAGAACTCAGATTTTTCCTTATTGAGTCGGAATCCATATCCGAGTATTCGTTGCAAGACAACTTCTACACGGATGAACAGTTCTAATATCGTTCGACCAATGATTATGATATCACCAAGGTAGGCAGCCACGCTTTCCAATCCGCTAAGCATGGTAACAATAAGCTGTTGAAAAATTGCTGGGGGCGTGTTTACGCAAAAGGGTAAACGAGTGTATTGAAACAGACCACGGTGGGTGTTGATAGTGAGCAGAGTCCTGGACTCCTCTGAAACTCAACCTGTAGGTAAGCATCCGATAGGTCAAGTTTAGCGAAACACGTGCCACCGTTCATTTTCGTAAAAATGTCCTCTATCAATGGTAGAGGATAACGATGGTCGTCGAGGGCATCATTCAGTGCTGTAGAAAAATTGGCACAAATTCGGATAATCCCATTTGGTTTCTTACAACAACGATTTGCGCCTCCCAAGAATAGTTAACCGGCTTCAGGACTCCGATTTCTTCTAGGCGTTTAAGTTCGGCGTCAACCATCGGCAACACTGATCTTTTCAACCTGAAAAATTGGTTTGGTATCCAGGCGCAAAGGAAGCATTGCTTTTGCTTCCAAACAGCATCCAAGGTATCTGCACTGAATTTATTCAAGAGGACAACATATCTCCATTTAACTCAGACCAATTCCACACTCTCATGGTTTGGACAAATATTGATGAGCACAACTGGTTGATGGGCATGTCGGAAAGTTCCAAACCAAAATCAGTATCAAGAAGGTTGAGCTCACAAACAACTATGTAAATGGTACCATGATCGCGCTTGTCTGAAATTGCCAGCTCACAATCAAATTCACCAAGCAACTTGATTTTACCGCCGGATGCATTTCTTGCCGTGTTAGTAATCCGACGATATCCTGGTGAACCCAGTTTCTTCCAGGTATTTCTTTACACGATTGTTATATCGGACGCCGTATCAAGTTGTAAACGAACCGTACTTCCGTTTATTGTCGCAGGCACCTATTTGTGATGACGTTTAAAATTAGGACCAGTTGTCGCAAGCACGGCGTTAAATTTGGGCTCGGTCCTATGTGAGCGACCGACCGATCGACGTCTTTGGATAGGTGTTCGGACAGGTTTATGGCGCGTAGATCGTGCGCTATATACCCGGTACGCGACTAGACGGCCAACCAAAAGCAGCGGGTAGAAGACACAAAAGTAAGCTAGGGAAGTTTATTGGACGGGAGGAGCGTTAGCTAATGCTAAAAATAGGGCACCCAGAGAGAGCTAGCTAGGGAGAATGTCGTTGGCGTCGAGAGCGTAGACGGAGCGTCGTTCGCAGTCGAGTCGCGCGCCAAAGGCGGAGATCGTGTTCGTGTTTCCAACAAACGGGAACAACGTTCCAACAAACAAACCGCCTAATTCCCTAATACATAAGAAAGCTATAATTTGAATGTATTTTAGAATAGTTTACACAGTCATACGGGGAAATCTCCAGGTCACTACACAGCCCCATCCTAGAAGGGAAGCCGTGGGTGACCCTTCGATCTACGTGAGGACTGTCCGTCGCGGGCCAGCCTTCTGCGAGACCAGGTAGTGAAACCTGATGCAGCTGCTGGGGGAGAACCAGGCGATCGGACTCTAGCGGGCTCCCACCCGTGTCCTCCCTAACGGTGCCGAAAACACAAAATGGGGGGAAAGTTCGTAAGCGTCAATGGTTCGCGAGTTCGTGAAGGTCAAATGTTCGCTTCAGGCTAGTCATCTCCTCCGATTTATACATGGAAGGTAAACGGAAACAAGAGCAGTGACGGTGGAGGCGACGGCAAAAATAAGAGTGACACTTACCGGGGAGGTGGGCGTCAAGCAAAACACAACTCCTTTTATGTGTTTTCAAAACGTTTTCTTTTTCTTTTGGGTTTTCAAAACGTTCTGCATTTTTTGGTTTTCAAAAAGTTTTGTCGGTTTTTTAGCGTTTTCAAAAGTTTTTGCCGATTTTTTTGGGTTTTCGTATGTGGTTGGCCAAAAGGGAAAGAAAACAATAAAGGAAAGGGAAAGAAACACTAATCCCTTAATCGCGCTGGCCAATGAACGCGTCTACCCGACCTAGTCGACTTGTACGAAACAGAGGAAGGCGTCGTCTTAGGCATCCTATCGGATCGCAAAACTGGAGGAACTGCTGAAGAAGTGGCGGTTGGTTCGATGGGAAACGGCGGAGCTGAAGTGGAAGGCTTGGTTGGAACGTGATGCTTGGGTTCATGGGTGTTGGAAACATGCGAGTCTTCTATCATAGGCTGGGTTGATTTTTCAGAGGACGAGCAACGGTCTTCATCGAGCTCAGGTTCCACGTGGGCAACCTTGAGACGGTCAATCGTAACGGCTTCTCGTTTACCGTGACGGTCGATGATAAAAACGCCGTCCTTACGCTGCAGGACCTTGAAAGGATCTTCGTAAGGTCGCTCCAGTGGTCTGCGGAGACCATCGAGGCGGAGAAAAACGAACGGACAATGCTGCAGGTCTTGTGGAATAAAAGATTTACGTTGTTGTTCTCTAACGTCGGGAAGCTTGTACTGACGCAGCCTCGTGGCTAGCTGACGTGCATAATTTGCGTCGTTACGGGTAATTCTGGGACTGACGGAGAAGAAGTCGCCAGGTAAACGCAGTGGTTGTCCATATACTAACTCGGCGCTAGACGTACGTAGATCGGCCTTTAGGGCTGATCGGATCCCAAGGAGGATCATAGGCAGCACCTCAGTCCAACTCAGCGCATTGGCGGCGCTAAGTGAGGCTTTCAAGTGTCGGTGGAAACGTTCCACCATGCCGTTCGCTTGCGGATGATAGGCAGTCGTGCGAATGCGTTGGCATCCAATGAGTTTAAGGAGACCGTTAGAGGTCGTAGATTCGAATTGCGGACCGCGGTCTGTAGTCACTGTGGCTGGACAGCCGTGTGACGCGACCCAGCGCTCGACGAAAGCGCGCGTTACGGTTTCCGCAGCTACGTCAGGGATTGGAACGGCTTCGGGCCAACAAGTGCAACGATCGATCATGGTCAAAATGTAGACCATTCCTTTGGACGGGGCCAGAGGCCCCACTATGTCGAGATGGACATGGGCAAATCGCGCTGAAACGGACGGAAAGCGACCAAGCGGAGCGGACACGTGCCGCTGAATCTTGGCTTGCTGGCAGGTGAGACAGCTGCGTGCCCAGCGCGTAAGATCGCGTTGCATCCCCGGCCAAACGTATCTCTCAGAGACAAGCTTAGCAGTAGCTTTAATGCCTGGGTGGGCGATATTGTGGAGGGTGTCGAAAACGATACGGCGAAAAGTTTCTGGAACGACGGGTCGAGGTCGTCCGGTAGATGTGTCGCATACAATGGTACCATCAGATGACGGCAAAGGATGCGGGGATATCTTCAAAGAAGAATCGCGGAGTTCCGAAAAACTTTGGTCGTTTGATTGCGCGGCGGCCATAGCAGACAAATCGATTGTCTGCCCGGCAGGGGCGATCGCAGATACTCTTGAAAGAGCATCAGCGACGACGTTTTGTTGACCAGAAATGTGTCGGATATCAGTCGAGAATTGGGCGATGAAATCCAGCTGACGAACCTCACGTGGTGAGTGTCGAGCTGATTGATTTCGGAATGCGTAGGTAAGCGGCTTGTGATCGGTGAAGAGAATGAAGGTGTTACCTTCCAGGACGTGTCGAAAATGTCGAACTGTAGAGTAAACGGCCAGCAGTTCGCGACTGAACGTGCTGTACTTGACTTCGGCGGGTTGTAGGCGTCTAGAGTAGAATGCAAGAGGTTTCCAGCCCCCATTTGTATGTTGCTGTAGGACGGCGCCAATGACGGTGTCCGAGGCGTCGACAGCAACACTGAGCGGAGCATTCGGATCGAAATGATGAAGCATAACGGCTTTGGCTAAGGCTTCTTTGCTGGCTTTAAAGGCTTCAGCAGCAGCGGCAGTCAGTTCCACCTGACCGTTTTTACGTCCACGAAGGAGGTCGGTTAGTGGACTTAGCAAATTGGCACAGTGTGGAAGAAAACGTCGATAATAGTTGAGCATGCCGTTAAAACGGAGAATGGCGGCTAACGTAGTCGGGACCGGAAAGTCTCTGATGGCGCGGACTCTATCGTCTAGAGGCCGTATACCATACTGATCAATATGGTGGCCATGGAATTCGATGGAAGGCTGCTGAAATACGCATTTGTCAGGGTTGACAGTGATGCTATTAGCGGCCAGCCTATCGAAAAGTATTTTGAGATGTTCTGTGTGCTGTTCTTTAGAAGCGCTGGCAACTAGAATATCGTCGATGTATGCATAGACGAAATTTAGACCTCTAGTGACTGAATCGATGAGTCGTTGAAAAGTCTGGGCTGCGTTGCGAAGACCGAACGGCATACGCAAAAATTCGAACAGCCCAAAGGGCGTGATTACGGCAGTCTTCGGTATGTCTTCCTCAGCGACTGGAATCTGGTGATACGCGCGAACCAGATCGATTTTCGAGAACACACGGGTGCCGCGCAGGCTTGCCGTGATGTCTTGAATGTGAGGAATCGGATATCGGTCGGGAACAGTAACGCTATTGAGCGCGCGGTAATCACCACATGGACGCCAGTCTCCAGATTTTTTGGGCACCATGTGGAGCGGCGACGCCCAGGGACTTTTAGACGGGCGAACGATGCCTAGTTCAAACATGTGCTCGAATTCTGCGCGAGCAATTTTCAACTTGTCAGGGGTCATTCGCCTGGCTTTGGCAAAAACAGGCGGACCTTTCGTAACGATGTGATGTTCCGCAGCATCAGTGGAGGATGAAAACGGTGCCATTGCACGAAAGACTTGCGGGAACTTGGTATTAAGCATCTGACTGATAGGCGAGCTTGACAAGTTGGCGTATACAGGACTGATTGACTCTATGTCGGTCAAAGTACCTATAACTGCCAGGTTTGTTTGACGGTCGATCAGACGGCGTTGCTTCGCGTCAACAAGCAAATCGAAGTGCTGCAGAAAGTCAAGGCCAAGAATTGGAGTCTGGACATCTGCGACGAGAAAGATCCACTTAAATGAACGTCGTATGTTTAAATTAAGCGTGCGCGAGCGTTGACCATACACGCGAATGGTGGTGCTGTTTGCTGCGCGCAATGAACCGGTCGCCTCTTCGATATCATTAGAAGCACGTGGGATGACGCTGACTTCTGCGCCGGTGTCAACGAGACAGCGTACTTCTGTACTGCGATCGGTGACAAAGAAAAGGCGACTGGGGCAGCCAGCAACGTCCGTCGTCCCTACGTGCTGGCCTACCCGTTTCCCTGCGTGTTGCGCTTGAAGGAACAAGGCGGGCGACACGACCTGGCCTTATGACCAAATCGCTCGTGGTACCAGCAATAGCTTGAACTAGGGGGAGATTTCGAACGTGATCTAGGAGGACTGCGACTACTGGAACGATTTCGGCGGTTGGATCCGGATCGTGTTAGCTTCTCTAGTCGGTTGGTCAATGCGGATACTTGCGCTCTTAGTTCTGCTACCTCTGTACTGGGGGTAGACTGAACCTGAGATATTTGGGCGTTGGATTCCCAAATACGGTCGGCAATATCGGCGAGCTGAGGAAGAGGCGCATCGTTTGCATACAAGGGATTGCGCATGTCACGTGGCAGGCGACGAAGCCACGTCTCTTTAAGGAAATATTCGCCAACAGCGAGAGGCTGAGCTAGAGCCTGCATCTAATGCAGCAACTGCGAAGACTTTCGATCACCTAGCTCGGTTTCGTTAAGAAGCTGCGTAACGCGAGCATGGTCTGATATGCCAAATCGCTTTAAGACGACGGCCTTAAGCTCATGATAACTTTTCTGATATTCCGGAAGTTCCAAGATGTCGTCGAGGTCATCTACGACTTGCGGGGGAAGCGCTGCGATAACGCAGTGAAATTTGACGCTGTCAGAGTGGACGCCATGTAACGAAAAAATGGACTCTAGCTGGTTAAACCAGGCCTTAGGGTTAGTATTACGGAAAGGCGGGATAGGAAAACGGAACGCACTAACCTGATCGTCAGAAGGTGAGTGAATAACCTTCATGGTGAAAAATTACGGAGCGTGTGAAAGTGAATGCAAGTAGTAAAAAGTAAAAGGGTAGACAGAATAAGTTACCGGATCTGAAAAGTAATATTAGTACCGAACTCACCAAAATAGTTTTTTTCGGGGTCACCAATTATAGCGCGTAGATCGTGCGCTATATACCCGGTACGCGACTAGACGGCCAACCAAAAGCAGCGGGTAGAAGACACAAAAGTAAGCTAGGGAAGTTTATTGGACGGGAGGAGCGTTAGTTAATGCTAAAAATAGGGCACCCAGAGAGAGCTAGCTAGGGAGAATGTCGTTGGCGTCGAGAGCGTAGACGGAGGGTCGTTCGCAGTCGAGTCGCGCGCCAAAGGCGGAGATCGTGTTCGTGTTTCCAACAAACGGGAACAACGTTCCAACAAACAAACCGCCTAATTCCCTAATACATAAGAAAGCTATAATTTGAATGTATTTTAGAATAGTTTACACAGTCATACGGGGAAATCTCCAGGTCACTACAGGTTTCCTTGTTAGACACTGATTTTCTTTGTGGCCGCGTCGGTTACACACTGAGCATCTGTGCTTCTTATAGGGGCAGAACTTTACGAAATGCCATTTGCCACACTGCCAGCACGCGGATGGTGGTTTCGCTAAGACATCTGCTGCTGTTCCGGTGGGTTGTCTTAAGCATGTCTTCGTGACATTGAAAGTGGAGTTGGATGATGAACGCTCCAACATGGCTGTATCGTGCTTGAGGTTTACCAAACGTTGACACTCATGCGTTATCTGCTGTAGCGTAATATCTGGGGACAGTTCAATCTTGCTCAATAACCTGGTCCTGATATCACTGTCGGAGTGTGACTGGAGACCGCAAATGAAAATCAGACACTTGAACTGATCTTCTGTCATAGTAAACAGTTGGAACTATTCGCACTCGAGATTGACTCTGCCAGCATATGTGATGAAATCTTCACCATCCTGTTTGGCAAGTTGCATACATTGGCATCGGGTAGTAAACAAGGAAGAACGTTCACCGAAAAGTTGCGATAGCTGGCGTACGGTTTCGTCAAAAGTGAGATCCCTGGAGTTCCTTGGCAGGATAAAATTTGTGTATCGTATGTGCTCAATTGTATCAAGCTATCTTAGCAACAGTCTGACTTGCCATACATCGTCGTTGTGCTTTAGTTCGATTTTGAAAATGTCCTCATATCGTTTGAATTACGATTCAAAAATCAGCCCAGCATCAGGTTCATAGAGGAACTTCGTGACACTACTTGCAATTGTTTCGGCTGCATTTTCTTCAGAGACAGGAAATGATGATTGATGGCAGAAATGCCGCATCAAACTTTCCGTTATTCGCATCTGGGCCGCCTCGAACTGAGTTTGCTATTGGTGCAGGATTGTCTTTAATTCTTCTGCAGTTATGGACATGTTGCGTGAGTTGTAGTCGCCAATTCTTTTGTGTCGGACACTGCTAGAGTAGAGCGTAGGCCAATCCCCAGCAATGAAGAACGAGCAGGGCGAGTACAGGAAAAACCGGAGTTTATTCCGAGAAAAGAATGAGAACCAACGCGGATTAAGTATTCACAGTGTACAGTCTGCACTAGCCAAATGCGCGTTCGCACATGGGTCCTGATTCCAAATCAACACCGGTCTGTTGATCGATATTCTTCCGGTGCGTTAGGCATCAGCCGAGTTGACCTTGCATCCAGCTCGTTCGGGTTTTCGGGCAGATGGTTAAGTGAAGGCAGTTCACATGCTAAGCTGGTTTGCGCTCGAGAAAACGTACCCTTCTAGCAGCGAGCATCCAGCAGTTCCCGATACTGAGTAGAGACCCAATGTCCGAGCTGGCGAATTGATTTCCCGGCAGATATGCAACTAGTGATCTTAAACTGCGTTCAGTAAGCGCTTACTCAGCTCGGACGCCAGCGTGCTTTGATAAGCATTCAGAACATCTGACTTCGTCAGTTGCCAAGTAGCTAAGTACTCACAGCGTCATTGCGAGCGTCCACCGAAACGCACCAGAAGGCCAGCGCACACAATTGCGTGATCAGAGTCAACGCTCATAGTCCAAATCGAGCGACAAATTCGAACGCATCCTCACCAGCGGTAACTGATCGCGATGTGATCGATGTGCATCCATGGCCGGTGGGCGCCATGTCACCCTTCTGGGGGTGCTGTATCGGAAGTTAGTGCAAGCAAGAAAGAGACGAGCATCTTCACCAGGAGTACCAATCATCCACCGTTATCATTATGGGAGCCTACATCGTGTTGGTCGCCCAGATAAAGCTCGTCGGTGGACAGTATTCCAACTTGGACACTTAAATCACCAGCCAGCACCACAGTATCCACACATTTTCTGCAACAGAGAAGTGTGTTCAATTAGTGATAGAAGTCGTCTTTCGCCGAGTCAGCGCTACAATATGTGAGTGCGTAGGCCGCAATGACAAAGAAGCGTCGTTTGTCTCCTGTAGCAGTCTGGAGATTCCCCGGTTTGCCTGTGTAAAATTCTAACCAAAATTATTTCATTGTACACCTAGGCAACCGGTGTGGTTTGTTGAGCTGATTGCTGAGTTCGAATGATTGACTTGCTCATCGCCATTTTTGCTTGGCGCTCGTTTCGGTTGCAACTCGCAACTGCCCTGTGTGCTGTGCTTGCCCCGTTCCCCTAGCTAGAGCGTCCACGGTGTCGTTCTTTTATGGCTAGATAACAGGGGATCTTTTACTGTACCAATAAAAGTCTCCCTGCAACTCGATCCGTCTTCTCGAATCGCTCTCTGGGCTCCCGGTACAGGCAACCCTCTAAACTCCACACGACTTCGATGCGTTGAATGAACCAGTTAATTGGACAGCGGACATCAGACTATTCACTGAAATCCAATCAATCAAGGCAGATTCAGCCCGTGGGCTAAGAGCAATGCCCACATCGGCTTAACCGGAACCTGAATCGGCGTCATCTCTGGACAACCCAATGAGAAAATACCGCCATTATGGCATGTTGGGGATCGCTGGGTAATCACAGAACTCGAATCCGGCAAACGATTTTCTGATAAGCAGCAGATATTGATTGATAGGGTCTCCGGTGTTCGGGCAAGTGCTACCTGTTGGCCGATCTGCAACAAAGTGCGTATTTTAAGGAGGGGGATCGAAGGCTCCAAATAGAAGCAGATAAACTGGGGTAAGCCGTTTGGCTAGACATGGACTTGCCGAGTGAACTGGAGGGACACTCTGCGATTTCGTGTGGGTTGAGACTAGAAGATAAACAGTTAGTGAGCCAAGACAGAGAAGGGCCAAAAAATTGGGGGTTGAAAACAGTGGGGGAAAAAGTGAAGTTAGTCCATGTATTGCAAAAGTTAGAACTGCGTCCTTAAATCCGCGACACCTGTGCTGCCAAAAGGGGAATTTTCTCGGCCTGCAAGTACGCGTATATAGCCATCGCAATGAGGCTGGACCTTACCCTGGTGCGATGGTTTGCGTGCCTCAGAGATCCATTGAGTTATGCTGGGCGGTGCTGTTTTTTGCACCTTCAGAGCCACTCATACCAGATTGGTCAATGGTTAGAGGCCAGACAAACTCAGCCTCCTGGTCCTCCAGGTTGGTGGTTGGCATGAGCGTGGTACCTTATTCCTTAAAACGGACTCCTTGTAACCTAACGCCAAACCCGCTGTCAAGCGGTAAGGTTTTTTGAACCAAAGGCTATGGTTGAGAACGCTAATCGTTTTCCTGTCTAGGCCTAGGCAACCTGACAGTATCCTGCCCACGCAATACAATGAAACTTTCATCAAACAATTTCTTGATGCTCTGGCCGCCGCAGAGGGTAATCAACGGCGCCCTATCCGCTGCATCGAGCAGGGTGGATAGGGGTATGGATGCTACTGCTCAAGCCTTCCCGTCTTCTTATCCCCCTTCTTGCGCTTCTTCATCCTTATCGTCCCACTCCAACTTTACTTTTATCCCCCCATTTTCAACCCCCAATTCTTGGCCCTCCCCCAGCTTGCTTCAACAGTCGCTTATCTTCTAGTTTCAAATGACAGACAATGGCAGGGCCTCGCTCCAATCCAGTCGACAAGTCCATGTTCAACCAAGCGGACAACGTCAGTTCAGCCGTTTCCCTTTGGAGTCCTCGCGTCTCGCTAAGACTGGCATGCCTCAACGTGCGCACCTTGCTACAGATTGGCCAACAGGCAGCACTTGCCCCACTCTAGAGACCCTATCGATCGATATTTGCTGTTTATCAGAAACCCGCCTGCAAGATTCGAGCTCCGTGGTTACCCTGAGATCCCCCACATGCGACACTCGCGGCACATTCTCATTGCGCCTGTCTGGCGATGGCGCAGCTTCAAATGCAGGTCAAGCTGGAGTCGGCATTGTTTTGAGTCCCCGGGCTGAAGCTGCCCTTATCGATTAGATTCAAGTAAACAGTAGGATGTGCGCCGTTAGATTAGCTGGTTCGTTCCGTGCAAAGAAGTCGCGCGGGGACAAACGGTGCCTGTTTGTCATTGCGGCCTACGCCCCTAAAAACTGTAGCACTGATTCGGTAAAAGATGACTGCTATCAGTAACTTCACGAGCTCCTTCGCTACAGAAGAAGCACGGATAATGTGGTGTTGGCTGGTGATCTAAACGCCTAAGTCGGAATACTGTCCTCTGATGAGCTTAATCTGGGCGGCCAACATGGTGTAGGCTCCCGTAATGATAACCGTGAGCGATTGCTACAGCTGTGCGAAGATGCTTGCCTGTTTCTCGAGAGCACTAACTTTCGACACAGCACCCGCAGAAGCGTGACTTGGCGGCCACCAGCCTCGGGCCAGCCATGGACGTAAATCGATTATATCGCGATCAATTACCGCTGGAGAGGCTGCGTCCAAGACTGTCGCTCGATTTGGAGCACGAGCATGGACTCTGACCACGCACTTGTCTGCGCCGACCTCCGGGGGCGTCTCGGTGGACGTCCGTAACGTCGATGTAAACGGATTGACACCAGCCAGCTGGCGAAGCCAGGTGTTCTGAATGTGTATCAAAGTGCGCTGACATCTGGGCTGAGTAAGCGCCCACTAAACACCGTCGAAGATCACTGGTCGCACGTTCGTAAAATGTTACTGTTAGCAGGCATGTCTTCATGTGGCAAAGCAAATTGCCAAATCGGACATTGGGTATCTACAGTCTCTGGAACTTATGAATGCTCGCCGACGTATTCCGGCTGGAAGCGAATACAATGAGACTCGCAAAAATCTCAGGGCAAAACTACGTGCTAGCCAAAAGAAGGACTGCGAAACCTGGTGGTCTCATCGTGCCTCTGAGATGGAAACAGCCGCTGCCGTTGGTAATCATCGTAAATTATACCATCTGATACGGGAAACAGGCAGCAGGAGACCTGGTGTTAGCGAGACCATACGCGACGAGAGTGGACAGCCGATCTACAGCTTGTTAAAACGCTTGGAGCGTTGGGCTGAACACTTTGCAAAGCAATTTAACCAATCTGAGTTATCGCTTTCTTTTTCGGGCGTTGAGCGCCCTTCTACCTGGGCCGTCTCCTTGGATCAGCCCTCACGCGCAGAAGTCGAACGTGAGATCAGGCTGTTGAAATTGCATAAGGCCGCAGTGGCAGATAGAATTCCCCCAACCCTCTTCAGATTCGGGGGATCTGCTCTAATAGATTATTTATACGAGTTGCTAGTGAAACTTTGGGAGCAGGAGACTGTCCCGACAGACTGGAACCGCTCCGTCATTGTCCCAATTTTCAAGGGAACTCCCGTTTGGAATGCGGCAATCATAGAGGGATCAGTCTGATTTCGATTGCCTCTAAATTGCTTGCCTCTGTCATTCTCCATAGACTGACTGGCACCCGTGAAAGCCAGATTCGTGAAGAACAAGCCGGATTTCGTCGAGGTAGGGGCTGCATCGACCACATCTTCACCTTGAGTCAACTGTTGGAGCACCGCCATGTTTATTGGCGACCCACCGTCGTGTTCCTTGACATAAAAGGTGCCTTCGACTCAGTCGACCGATGCGCCCTTTGGGACTGTCTACTCAGGAAAGGTGTGCCTGATAAATATGTTAACATTATCAAAGCGCTGTATGCGCATAGTTCGAGCAGGGTGAGGGTTTATGGCAAACTGTCGCCACCCTACAGTATCACCAGCGGTGTGAGACAAGGATGCCCGCTGTCACTTTTCCTCTTCAACTTCGCTATTGATGAAGTCATGGAAACAGCGTCCGCTGGACACGACCTAGAAGGTGTGGAGCTACTCCCTGGTGAGCGACTTCTTGACTTAGAGTATGCGGACGATATTGCCCTAGTCTGTGACAGCTCCCAAACATGCCAAACAGCACTGGACCAATTAGCACTGGCTGTCAATCGTTTTGGGCTATGCTTTGCTCCATCGAAATGCAAAGTGCTTCTCCAAGATTGGCAGGGACCCAACCCTGTGCTAACGCTTCGTGGTGATCTGCTAGAAGTCGTTCAGGAATTCAAGTACCTGGGCAGCTATATTAGCACCCGTGGGATTGAAGATGAGATTACGAATCGTATAGCAAAAGCTCGAGGTGCTTTTGCTAATCTCCACCACCCGTGGCGTAGACGCGACATTACTCTCGCCCTCAAGGGCAGAGTTTATAACGCATCCGTCCGTTCAACTCTCCTATGTGGTGGTGAAACCTGGCCTATCAGGTCGGCAGACATAAAGAGACTCGTCATATTCGATCATCGATGTCTTTGCAGTTTAGCACATGTCTGGTGGGAGCACCGCGTGAGCAATGAGCGTGTTCGGCGTCGAGTATTTGGTGCAAGAAGAGCGAGTGAAGCGTTCAGCACCATTATATCACACACCAGGCTCCGATGGTTGGGCCACGTGTTGCGCATGCCAGCACACCGACTTCTGCGGCGTGCATTGTTTGCGCGTTATGGGTACGGCTGGAAGAGAAGGCCAAGCGATGACTTGGTCAAGAGATGAAAACCCTCACTTCGAAGTTAGCGTCGGTTGGTGCATCCCAACTGCCTGGCTGGGGTCTTAAGGATGGTGAACACGTTTGGTGGGACATACTTGCTGATATGGCTTGGGGTCGGCTCCAATGGCGTTTGTGTTGTGAGTTTCTTTGTCGATCCCCCTCCTGCTTAGCATCCCCTTCAATCACGATCTCACTCCTTAGGCGTAATATAACTCCCTTTTTACGGCACGATAGCCAGCTGTTAGCTCACTGGAACGATGTCCATCCGTTACTGGGGACTCAGCCGGCGTGTCACTGTTTGTTTTCCTTTTCTTGTCTTTGATGTTGCGGCACAATAGCTGAGGTGTTTTCCACCTGCAGTTAACGTGTGTAATGATGATGATGACGCGTATATAGAGCTATAGTGGTTGCCATTCTCTCTCTCGTGAGAGTGAGACAAGCCCCCTTCGACCTGAGGCACATACAAGTTTGATCATTGTCGCATGCAGGGCATTTGTGTCGGATTGCACCCAAGTTTCCACAATGATGATCCGCGCAGACAAGGGTTGGGTTGCGCTAATCAGATTAGTTCTTTAGTACCACAAATTAGCTGGGTGATATGTACGCTGGGTAATTGATTACGGAAACAGTCCTTTCTGATTGCTCGGGAGGCCAAGGTTGACTTGGCTAGTGGTAATGAAATCAGTGCCGAATAGACTGCATGCTAATTTTAATTTATTCGTCCAAGCAGGATGCGCACCATCGAAGAAACCCCAGTAGCGTGAAGTGCGCGACTGGTGCTTTTCCGGCTGGGGATTGTGCCATGTAGCTTGTGAGCTGCTCGGACAAACACATTAAAATTACAACTAAAATCTTCCTACTCATGAGTAATAGAAACTGAATGCTGGTTGGTTCGACTTGCCTTCCACCTTGTATTTGGTCCGAACTGTTACGTCATAAGATTCGTAGCCGGATCTGTGGAAAGTTTTTTGGCGCGGCTTATTTGGACTATCTGATTAACATATATCTGATACTGAGCTATCGGTGAACATAAGGCTGCTCACGACGTGGGACAGAGAAAACCACAAGGAAAATGTTTCTTCAAGGATGACCAGCTTTTTGAGACCATGTGTTGTTGAGGTGTAGATATTGTTCCTGAACTTACACCTCCGATAACGTGGTTCTAAGGGTAAAGCGTAGTCGTCCTAATCCAAAGTCCCTAAAATTAGGTCAGGATTGAGTATGTCTTATATCCGGCCAGTGGTTTGCTGCATGGATGGTTTAGGTAACCCCGCAGAAGTACAAGTTAACATTGTGGAGGAATGCAATGAATAGAAACAGCAAAATCCGGTCTCGTCGGGATGGACTGACTTTACTGCACTAAGGTTTGTGACGCAAGGAAATCCGTGTTTGGATGGCACTGCAAGTTGTAACGCGGCCACAGGCTTGAAACATGTTCGCACGGTGACATCCAATTAGCTAATCAAACGCCGCCAAAAATCGAGGTGAACTAACCGATAAAGAATAAGATTTGCGACCTCAACATGTGTAGAAGGGGACTTCACTAGTCAACACAGACATCAACTGGAGCGACTAAGATACTTGATGAGGGAGCCAGGCTGTCCTCGGCACGGTAGTGAGGTGCAAGTCAGTGGACAGCTAGTGGTGGTATATCACACCTAGCAAATTAGTCCCGATGGTAATTACCGTCCCCCGTAGCATTGTGGTCTCAACCGCCGGCTAGCAAAAGCCGAATTGTGCGTTCGAGCCCCACAGGTGTCAGATGGGACGCGCATTGCTAACGATTCCCGGAAGGATGAAGTGGCCGTACAGTGCTTTACTGGTCGTGGTGGCTGTCTGATTGAGTCTAGATGTTATGAATTGTCACTTGATGTTTCGATTAGTACGTCAATAGTAGTAATATGAGTAATGCTGAGAGAGATAGCTATAACGCCTTCTTCCGGCAGTGAAAGTGAGTCAAAAAGAGGAGTGGGTAAGCTGTTGACCAGATACGAGCACTCGCCGCCATACATCCCGACGGCGAATTGAATTGGACCATAAATGTTGATCAGTTATAGTGATTTGTCAACTGTGACGGGCAAAATTCATATGCATAAGCAACGGCGTTCACATATCAGCACGTGGTAAGCGAGGCCATGGCCCGGAATGTGACAATCACGGTGCTAGAAAAGAGCCATGATTCCATCGGAAATCTGTGAGCTATGCTCCTACGACAGCGAAATTTGACTCAATTCATCAGCAAGTTCAATGAGAAATTGTTATCAGGTGCCAACGGCAATTGTGACTTCGAAAAGTGGTTTATTCACCTTATTTGCTCTGTTACTATTCATCGACGCAGAGGTCGTGGCTAGGGGGTGGGAAAAACTCACAACACCAAAGCCACCGAGTTTGGCCTTTCGTCATGTCAACAAGTGTATGCAAGCAACTGTGTTAATCGTCTTTCGAACCACAAGTTGAGAGGCTCCAACTGAGGTCGACTTCGAAGTCAAAGCTTTTTCTTGACCAAATCCCCGGTAGCGCAAACAACGCGCGCCGTGTGAGTCGGTGTGCTAACATGCGTAACGTGATCCAGCCATCGGAGCTGGTTACAAGAAATAATGGTGTTGAGCAGTTAACTTACTTTTCTTGCATCGCAGACAAGACGCCGAACACGCATATTGCTCACGCGATGTCTCCACTAGGTATGGACTGAACTGTGAAGACACCAGTGGATGAACGTAACTAACCTCTACGGGCCGTTTGACAATCATGTAAGATGGCTGAACGGACAACAGCATTGTAGCCTCTACTTTTCAGAATGAACATGAAATCGGGCTGGCGCCATAAGCAGCGAAGTTGAGCAAGAACTCTTCGGGCATTTGCTACACAGTTCGTGATTTCATCTTCTATTACAGGGACGCTGGCAGCTAAGTAGGTGCTTGAATCTATGGACGACATTTTGCTAGTCCCCACCAAGGGCTAATGTAGGCTGGTTTCTGCCAATCCTGTAAATCATCACATATTGCGGCAGTCATCGGGATACCCTGGGTTTAGAAGTAGATCATTCGGGAGCTGCTCCACACCTTCCAAGTCGTGTCCATTGAACAGTTCCCATAACTTCCCCGATGAGAAAATTAAAAAGGCAAGAGGACAGTGAGCATTTTTGCCTCTTGCTGTTGGAGATATTGAACCGCGGTGATGCCCCAACTATGCAAGTAAAGCTCCGAGTACGGCGGCATGGAAATATTAATAGGTAGGAATTAAGTGCCTCCGCACTAACAGAGCCTCACAAGATTGTTGTTTTCGAATTTTCAAGTTGCAAAAAAAATAAATCGTCAACTGTATTTCATGACAGCGCTTTGCTGCCGCGGGAATACCGTCAGTCGCGCTTGCGCTAAGTATATCGCGAGAGCGCCCGCTCCTACCCTTCTGACTGCAAGCCAGGCGTGCAAACCTCTCGACCCAAGATGTGTGATCGGATGCTTCACATTATCAGAGACACTCAATGTCAGCCCAAGCATAACCATATTTAGATCGAATAAGTGAGAAAAACAAAAACCACACAGTTCCCACCGCCCACACGCCACTAAACAGCACTGCGAACGTCTTGCTTTGCCAAAAGACGACATGTAAGGAGGGGGTGGACGAAGATTGGATGCGCGAGATCAGATATTTATAGGAATAAAGCAAGGAGAAAATAGTGAGCATAAACTACATATGTGGATCAGACAAAAAGTGCAGAAGGCTGCCTGAAAGTTCATACATAGAGGGCAGTTCGTAGAGCTTAACATAAACTCCATGCTCTCATACCGGCTAACTGAGTGTGCACACAAGGACGAGCAAGGAAAGACCCTGAGGAAACGTAAAAATTCCGAGAAACTAACAATCCAGAAAGTTGGCGGCCATTAACAGCTCCAGACAGATCTCAGGGGCGATTGGGAACTCGGGGATTTCACTAGAGCTGTTGGTGTAACGGACTTTGTATGCGAAGTAGCTGCACACTTTCTGCAGCACATGAGAGGGAATCTCGCGGAAGTGCACAACATTTGTCTCGTGTTCCTGGAATTGTCCTGAGTAGGAGGATACAAGAAATACAAGGTAAGAATCCCTTTTTCGGGAAAAAGGAGTACATGGCTCACGAGCAAGGAAAAACGAAACAATGGAGACTAAGGAGATAATTTGAACGGGCACGTGATCGAATCGTTCTGGTACCATTTTAGCAAGTCTGTAAATAGGAAACTATGAAAATTAAGTGGAACAAAACACTGTCACAATTTTGTAAGTTGTAGGGGATTTATTGGGTTTTCTGTGAAGCTTTGTCGCAGTTAGACTCTCCGACGACTATTCACAAAAAGCTGTCATAATATGCCAACTCAGACAACGATGTCCACGAGAGTAGGAAGCTTACATGAAGTAGTTCACATTCACGAAGCAATGTGAGCTATTCAAATTGAAAAGGCAGTGCCAATCGGGCACCGAAACCCAATATCGCAGCCGACTATGGAGCAAAACTGCGAGAACAAAAGTGAGATAACGACCAATGAAACTCAAATAGCAATAAGAGAGACTGAGACAACACTATGTAGCGTTATGTTGCAGATCTCTATCGAATACTTCTCTTTCCCTAACCGCGCAATCGCAAGTGATACGGTTGGGTGATCAGAGAGAAACAAGCAGTGAAGTAAAAACTATGTAATAGTTTTAATGGACTAGGCGTCCAAATGGATTAATGGATCAGTTGTGAAGAGCTGTGGTTGTACGTTACTATCCAGTGACGCAATAGGCCGTTGCAAAATAAGCTGAATGAAATTAATGCTGCCCCCCACCCAAGATCAGTTAATGCTTGTAAGAGCGTACAAGATACTTAGGGGATAACCCGAAAATTTTCCGGGACATCAAATGCCGGGTGTACGGGATTACTCTAGAGCGCTTAAACTGTTATGACATTGAAAACTTGGCTTTCCGGCTTGCGAATTTCTATCACCTTCGGACCACCGACCAACAAAAAGATGTTTCGTCTCCATCTAGCTAATAGAATCCCCCCTTTGATTTCCAGGTCAGCTAATACGAGAGTGTGGCAAAAAGTAACGGCGTCTTCTTTAAGACAGGTATACTTATCAACACATGAACATGAATCATATGTCAAAATGAAGCAGGTACTTTGTGGATCACATTCCTACTTCTAAACATAATCACCGTTTCAATAGCAATGTTCCACCTTTGAATGAGAGCATGTATCCCATTCTTGTAAAAATCCGTTGACCGTTCTTTGAGGCACTTTTACGTTACCGAAATAATGTGACTTAAACCCTCTTCCATGGGGCCAGAGATGATAGTCTGAAGAGGTTAAATGTGGCGAGTATGGAGAATGTGGTAAAGTTGTCCACTCGAATGGGTTCAAGTCGCAAAAGTCAGCTGGAAAAATCCTTAGGACTGTATTTTGGGATGCTGAATGTGCCATCCTGGTTAATTTTTTGCCAAGAGAAGGAACAAACTCTGAGGTCTACATTGAGAACCTGACAAATTTCAGAACAGTAATCCGACGAGTGAAACTCAACTTGCCAATCGGCAAGGTCCTTCTTCTGTACGACAATGCTCGACCACAGCGAGGCATTAGAACAAAGGAGAAAATCGCCTCATTCAGGTGGTCGTCGGAGTAAGTTTGTGTTTAACTGAATGTATGCACAGTGATATGCGGTCGAGGATGCAGCTCTGTGGACAAGCTTCGGATAAATTTGCTGTTGCCTCTGGCGTGAAACAAGGTTGTATCTTGGCCCATTCCCTGTGTAATATTTACCTTTATGCAAGGTCCTGTACTTTTGATGCTGCTTGTGATTACTATGTCCGTGTGCAGCACTGTATTGATAGGGGGTTGCTGAACATCCGTCATTTCAGGGCAAGAACCCGATTATGTGAGACAACTATCCTTATGTTGCTGTTTCTCGACGGCTGTGGGCTGTTTGCACAGGGCGCGGATGAGTTGCAGCACGTGAATTCGGATCCTGCTTCGACAGCGGCAAAATTCGGACTCAGCATCAACACAAGTAAGACTGTTTGTCTTCTCCAGCCTTCAAGAGAAATTGAGCCCATGGGCATGACCCAAATCCAGATTGTCGATGACGTGCTTGAAACAGCAACGACATTTTGCTACCTAGGAGGCGTAATGTCTACCGAACGGGCTGCGCATCCGCGTATGGAAGGCGGCTGTTGCGTTTGGCAAACTGGAGAAATGTGTGGAACAACCACCGGCTTACTGTTGGAATAAATCGGCTGGTATACAAGTCGATGGTGCTAGCCGTTCTATACGGCAGCGAAACGTGGATGATGTACCGGAAAAACGTCAGATATCTGGGGCAATTTCATCAAAAGTGTCTGCGACGGATTCTGTGCATCGGTTGGTGCCACAGTGTTGTAGACATGGAAGTGATGCACTGCAGTGGCATGTATGCAGCTGACTGTATACTTCTGCTGTGGCATCTGAACTGGCTGGGGTATATGAGCCGAATGAATTCGACGAGGATACCCACACAGCTTTTGCATGGCCAATTTAGTGCAGGGAAGCGACACGTGGGAAAATAGAAATTACGTTGCCGGGACACGATTAAAATGAGTTTATTACGAACTAATGTTGATTTCAGATGTTGAGAATCACAGGCATTTGATCGTCAGCAATGGCGTGAGCTGGTCAAGAGGGCGGTTGCCCATGTGCAGAAGGCAATATTGCACGCGGAGGAGAAAGGCAAGTTACAGAAGCGACAAGCGCCGATGGATTCTAGGCCATCGACGTCGAGCGCACGGTACTGTAGCACATGGAGTCGTAAGTGCTTGAGCAAAGCGGGTTTGGTAAGCCACCAGCATGGCCACAGAGGGCCAGCATCCGAAAGACGATGAGCTAACTGAGTATCTAAGCAAAATCACCGCAGCGATTGGCAGGTGCGTTGCGTCCGCTTCCATTCGATTTACTAGCCCAGGCCATTAAGTCGGCTGATGTGGTACGTGTGTCGCATCGTCGTTGCAGTTGGTCTGTGCGTGTGTCGGCGCGTTAAGTTTCTTTCATTTCAGGTGCTGGTTGTTGATTGATATCATCGATGTGGCTGAACTTGAAGTGAATGTTGACAAGGTGCCCATCGGTCGAAAACTCTCCAGTTGGTCCAAACTGATTACAGGAGACAGTTGGTCGTCTCGGGAGGTGATGGGGTGAACAGTCCTCGTGACAGTGCTAGGTTCAAAAAATAGTTCCGTGCATCCAGTGTGGAACGAGTTACGGTCCAGCCATCGCCTTGTGTACGTCTGGTACGCATGATTCCACAAATCGACTAACTTTAATGCTGCCGCCGTGCACGCTGAAGGTGTGTGGACCGGCTCCGCTGATGAAACGTGAGTCCCAAACACATGCCTACTGATCTTATTCTTTTTGGCTTACAAAGGATAGGGTGATGCAGCGCAAGACACCCATGGTTCGTTTGCGTGCGCCGGCGTCCCGTGGTTGCTCTATGGATGAGTATGCCAAATGTGTAGTCATCATCAGCGCGCCGCTTGGTAAGACCACTGCTTTCGATTCAATTTACTAATCCAGGCTAATAAGGTGGTCGATGTGGTACGTGTGTCGCACCGCCGTTGCATCTGGTCTGTACGTGTGCCTGCGTGCTGAGAATCTTGTATTTCAAGTGTTGATTGTTGATTGATATCTCCGGTGTGGAGACGCTTGATGTGAGTGTTGACAAGGTGTCTACCCGTCTATCACGCACTACCTCACCTAAAGTGGCTCCAGGAATTATTCGTTACTGGAGAGGACGGGGTGTACGGTCTTCGTGGCCGTGCTAGGCTCAGTGAGTAGTTTTATGCATCCGGTGTGGAACGGGCTCCAGCCCAGCCACCGCCTTGTGTACCTCTGGTACGCATGATTCCCAAGTAGGCATGTATGCTTCTGTTCTGCTTGTTAAAGGAGTGTGGGCCGGTTACGTTGATGAAAATTGGCTCACATACACATGATTCCTGATCTTATTCCTTCGGGTTTGCAATGGATATGGAGTGTTATAGGTAGAATTTCGTCACATCTAGGCTCACTCAGACAGCCGCCACAAGCCCGGAAAAGCACTGTACGCGCGTTTCCTCCTTTCGGGAATCATCAGCAGTGCGCATTCCGTCGGACCCTTGGTAGGGCTCGAAACCGCAACTCGACTGTTGCCAGTCCGTGGTTGAGACCACTGAGCCTAGATGTGACGAAATTCTACCTATACCATTCAACTCCCCCTACTACTCTTCTGTAATCAGTACACAGAACAAAATGCTTATAATGCCATAAGATAATTGGCGGCTTAAGTTTGTTAAGCTCGTCGCTTAGTGAGGGGGCTACCCTGTCCTCTGCACGGCAGTAACGTGTAAGTCAGTGGATAGTGAGCGGCGCTATATCACATCTAGTAACTTATTCACGATGGTCGTTGCCGTCCCCCGTAGCTCAGTGGTCTCAACCACGGACTGGCAACAGTCGAGTTGCGGTTTCGAGCCCTACCAAGGGTCCGACGGAATGCGCACTGCTGATGATTCCCGAAAGGAGGAAACGCGCGTACAGTGCTTTTCCGGGCTTGTGGCGGCTGTCTGAGTGAGCCTAGATGTGACGAAATTCTACCTATATCATTCAACTCCCCCTACTACTCTTCTGGGATATAGTGTGTGGATGAAGCTGTGGGCGGTGCAGTGCAAACCACCCATGGTCCCTCTGTAGGCTCAGGCATCCTGTGGCTGTCCTATGGAGGCCGCAATGACAGGCAAGTCCGGAATCGGATGCCGCCAACCATTTATAGCAGTCGAAATAAGAGACAATTGTCTCAGGAGAGTTGCGCAGCAGTGTAAATATTTTTCAGTTCAGTTAAACATCTATGGTGGGTGCACCGGAGTATGGTGAGTCTAGTCACCACGGCTTGCAAGGCCTGTAAGAAAACGAAACTGAACGCAAATAAAATACTAAATGAAATCAAGAAAGAACTGCGTAAAACTAATCAAGATGAAATGGAGATTAACAGCTAGGTGCATGAGCACCACTGGCTGCGCGGTGCCCGAAAAGACCATT